ATGGTTTACAAATCTTTGGAAATTAGTGTCATCCACTCAGAAATCATCTAAATTAGGGGCTTTCGGTGTGAAACTGGCAGACCCTCCCCCCCCCCCGGTGGCCCAGCTCCCCATGTTGCCACAGTCACTGACTCAGCTGTAGGCTACAATTCCAGCCCAGTTTTTGTGGCATATATCTGTAAACACATGCGACAAGAACGGTTCCCATAGCAGATACTTTTACACAAACCTATTGTAAATACTGCATACGGTGTGTAAGCAAACACGTATTATTGTGTTTTTTGGACACTTGAGTTTGATTTAGAGACTTTATATGGTGCGTAAGATGTAGCTGCAGTAATTATCGTGCTTGTATTTGACTGCTCCAGCTGCGCAGCTGGCTGGCAGCTTGGCATGCAGACTGGTGTCAGTTTCAGTCATTTCACCTATGAGTCATTCGAGTTCAATGTGAACTTTGCCAATGAGAAAGAAGACGTCCTTGCTGCCGTTTTTTAGTAAGCTCACACACAATCATCAACTGGAACAGGATAGCGGATAAACTGAGTTGCATGCTGTAGCCACTTCTGCAAAGTCAAGAAATCGAGTCTAATGTTTTCATATTTCATTGCAGGCCCAACATCTTGGCTTGCAGGTGAATATAATCACAATCACACCGTCACTGAGGCAAAATTGTCGTACTTTTCTCTGATGTCCTCACAGTCCGCAGAGTGCTCACAGAGTGGGCAGACTGTGGCTCTGTGCAGGGAGTGGGAGCAGTGTTTCATTTGTATTTAGGGATGAATAAGTTGTGAAAAGGCAGCAGGCAGAAATGAACTGAGAACACAATCTGCGCTGGCTAAAAATATTGTTTATGTCACATTTAATAGGGATGTTTTTGAGAACAAGAGGTCATACGATTTGAACAGATTCTCAAGGCTAACTGACTTGACTCATGCTAAAAATGATTTCATGTGCACGGGCCTGTAAAATTCTGCCTATTAAGTAACGGACAGAATGGTGTTTACTACATGAGCGCATCATTTGTTTAATGACCAATCTGTACTTGATGGGTAAATATAGACTTTAAAATAATAATGTGAAGAGTATTTAATATGGTTCAATTTGACATGGTTTAATAGAAATATAATAGAGATGTACATGATCTCACAATGTCTCTACTTATTTTAAACATAGGTATATGCATTTCTCTGGCTTTGGATTTTCTCTTTTACTAAGTTACTCATTATAGTTTGTCACACATTACTTATAGTGGGATGTAACAATGGTTGACTATACTGTATGTTTTCCAACACCACTTTTGTGGTAAAAAACAACATAATCAAGACAATAAATAAATGTCTTGTCCTGACTCTGCACCTCAGTCCTACAAAGCCATTTTGCATCTCTCATAGATTTGGCTCTCCAGTCTGAGACTTCGGTTCAGCCTTACTGCTCTTGTCCACCTTGCTCCCGCTGTGATGGGCAGCTGTTTGCATTTAACATATTCACATAAATGTCCCATATATTCGCATTCAGCAGCTAAAGAGACAGACAATTCCTTCAGGAGGCGTTTGAGAGTAAAAATTGAACAAGAAAGACTCAATTTGGGACTTTCCAGGTGACCATGACATGTAGCAACTTGTAAGCAATTACAATTTCAAAAGATGCTCAGGGCTGTAAATGCTAAGGCAAACAAAAGCTTGTGTTATTGTATAAATAGGCAGCTGTTTGCTGGCACGTTGACTGAATCACCTTAGTAAGGCGATCTTACGTTAATGTTGTGTTCCCAGCTTGTAAAAATCTAATGAAATAAACCACAAACAGAGATGTTTTGGAGACTCATTTTCAGAATATGGCAAAATGTGTTGTTCTGAACTATAAATTCTATATGTGTGATAAAACCTTTGAGTAGACGCAATGTAAATACACTAAGTATCACCTAGCACAACTGGTCATTTCGGCAGGATGATAGCCAAACAAATATTAAATTTATAACCCCATTTATTCCATATAAAAGCTATGGTTATTAATGTGTCGGCATGCGGCTGCTCTTACAAGTAAAAAGCTGAAATTAGGCAGAAAGTGCAGAGAAACGTTTCCAGAAGAAGCGTTTCATCTCTCTTCCGGAGGTGAAAAATGTTCTCACTCCCGGAGCCCACGATGGTGGGCCCTTCCCCAGAGTTCATTAATTAGTTAATTAGTTAATTAGTCTGAACAGATGGCTATGCAACACAAATCAGAAGGCTCTCAGGGCCCGGAGCAAGAGGAAGGTAGGAGAAGGTGAGCCGAGCAGCAGTCGCAAATCTCAACTGTCACCTAACGTCTGACCTGGGCTGTGTGCTGCAGACATTTTCTCTTCATTCACCCATTTTATTGCACGACGGAGCACGTCATAAATTAATGAGAAAACTACAGAAAGTATATCGACTGCTGCAAAATTACATGTTTCTGTGTTGCACTGGAATTAAAAGCATAAAGCGTTAGAGCATATGAAAGGGGCGCTCTGGTCACATTACAGCAGCTTATATTTGAATGAATAGTTTGCATCACTGCAGATTGTAAAAAGCATTTCTGATGGTTTATTTTTAGACTGTTCCCATCTCCCCCCTTCTGTTTCCTTTTCCCTCACTGTCTCTCCCTGACTCTCCCTCGCTCATCTGTCTCTATTTCCTGCTCTTACTTCTTCCCTTATTCCCGACTCCCTATCACTCTCTTAAAGGCACAGGCACCGGATGAAATGAGGTTGGCATGTGTAAGCTCCTGTGTTTGTGTAAGTACGGATAAAACTAAAGATTAGAACATAAAACTATTAAAATAAGGTATGCTGTGTTTCTCACTTTGACTCAAATGCACAGTGTCAGAGTGGGGTGCTATTAAAAATTCACATGGATGGTGCATTATTCATATGTATATTTTACGCACGGCCTGCAACCAAGTAGTGTGCACACACTTACACACTGTCACATGCACGGGGAGATTTTGGCGTGCACACAGGAAGGAATGCATGGCTATGCTACACGAAAACACACACACACACACACACACACGCACACACACACACACACACACACACACTGAAGGATAATCTCCTTAGTACAGTAACCCATTTAAAGCATATCTGTGAGTGAGAGACAGAGGGAGAGAGAGCACACATTCGCCCACATACCCAAAATTTTCAACAATGTTAAAGGAATCGAGGACACTGCGTCATCCTTCATAATCACTCAGCAGGATCGCTCTCCACCTCGACGTACATGTACTTTAATGACTGTGTGTGTGCTGCTCTACGCATGAGCGCACTTCTTCAAACATCTCCGACATAAATCACAGCAACGATGTCAATGCAAATCATCCAAATTGTAACAAGTTGTAGCGGGAAAGCAAAGCCAGAGACGTCTGAGGAGCATGTCATTTAAAGCCTGGAACTCAACAAACCTGATTTCAGATTGAGAGATGAATCTCACGCTGAACTTTTTAATAGAGACGGTTTGTCTGACACAACAAGCTGATATCAAGGTGGATGAAGCTGCAGGTGCAGGTCCTCATTGCACTAACTCTTAGTTTGCCCTTGTCCCTGTGTCTCTCCGATGGCACAGTCAATAAAGGTCTGGATCGTGTTTCCCTGTGCTTACACTCGCTGCAACTCTTGGACGGCGTCCTAAACTACTCCCATTTCTCTGTTTATCATTATTCTGATATGTTGAAACAGGCGTGATGCAATAAACAAGATCTGATTACTCAACCTGGCAACTGCAATGACTGACACAGATAGTCTTTGTGCAAACACCTCCAAAAGATGATGCCCAGTGTAAATACTTGACTCCACTGACACCCAGCAGCGCTCACTCACACACACACACACGCACGCACAAACAGACGATGCAAGCACTGCAAAGCTCCAGCAGAATGGACAAATAGAATACTCCAAGATAATCCAAAAATACACTGAAAGCAACAGACACACACTGAAAGTGCCCTTTTCAGTGGCTGTACACCAAAGGCACTAAGTGCTCACTGGTTTCTCTGAAGTCAGTTCTCTCTACGCGAGTGCATGGTAATAGAACAATTAATTAATCGAAAACACAATTTTCAGGGTAAATGAACACAGTAAATACACCTGTTTGTGCTTTTTTATGAAATCCCCGCTGCGCAGAAATAACAACAGTGAACAGATACTGAGAATGTCTGAGCAACTTCAACAGGAGAAACAAGGAGGATTAACAGCACCTCATTGTGCATGACTTCAAAAGTGATATCCCTGTACAACTGTGCATGCAAACAATGTTATTGTACAAATATGTTCCATTAATATAATGTAGTGTAGTCTGTGCTATGAGGTGTGACCTCTGCTAAATGAAAAGAATCATCTTACTTTGTCAGGACCTGTCAGGTTCTAAGTTGGGGTTTGGTGATTACCTCAACCAAGGAGGTTTTTCTCCCCCCTTTCTATTTGTTTGCTGTTTTGGTTGTTTTTTATGGTTTCGTAAGGGGAATGTATATGCTATATAATGTGCAATATAATGTGCTATATTATGTGCTATATTGAGTGTTAAATTATGGTTAGGATTAGGGTAATACATCTTTTTATCTCTCTAACAGCCGGCTATGTACATGCATCTGTTTCAAATAAAAACTCTATGCAATAACCCAATGGGATAATGAAAAAAAAAGAATAAAAAAAAAAAAACATTAAAAAACTACTGAACTGATTTTGATGACATTTTAAGGAGGGGTGGGGCCTCATTAAATCTTGAGGTGTATGCGGATAAATGGACGGATCACACTTTTTTTTCTTCATCTTTAACGTTGTGGGGCGTTGATTTTGTCAAGGGAATAATTAATGCGTCTTGATGAAGAAAATTAGGCACATTTTTGGAGAGTGTTGGCGCAGCCAGATTCAATTTAAGGAGGCTGTTGGGCCTTGGAGGGTATGTGCTCTACTGAGTCCGATTTGATTGTGTGCTTTCAATAGTGTTCTGTTGCGTGATGACACATGTCAAACATTCATTTTCATAACTTACCGAGGACGCCGAGCCGATAGTTCATGGTGACTACGATGACGTTTCCATAGGCAGCAAGGATGCTGCCGTCAAACATGTTCCCTGAGCCCTCCATGTAAGAGCCTCCGTGGATGAACAGCATGACCGGCTTCTTGCGACGATCCCGAATATCTACATAACACAGACAGAAATGTAAGTTATTATCATGTTAATTCACTTATGTTAAATTCTTTACCACATATTCACTTTTTGAGATCCCTGCTAAGCTCAAGTGTCTGCCAGCAACAGGCAGTCCCCTCAGTTTAATCAGACAGCTTTAGATTTATATGACTGCAGCAGTCTTGTCAGTAAAAAAATCCATATGCAGCATTTTGTAACCTCCTACAGCAAATGAGTCACTCGAACAAAAACGATGTAGATACTAAGTATGAAACATGTTCTGTAGACTGTGTTTCAGTTGGCAGCAAGTTTTTCATGTCTGCCCCTCCGGGCTTATCCTCTATATTTTATTCTGTGATGTCTGTTTCCCCTCTCTTGTGTGGCGATGGTACCTTCCCAAACTGTTATGCCCCTTTATGTGTGGAGCAAATGGTGCAGCCAGTTCTGAGGCCCTCTCTTGTTATTGGTATCTTTATGCCCATCAGTGTGTTGCTATGGTTCATTCTGCCAGCATGTGCACACGGTACCACTCTCTCTCTCTGAAACCACCCCTCTTGCAGCGTCTGTGGTATGGTCTGAGTGTCTGCGCGTGGATAAGGCTGTGAGAGCTGCCAGTGCAGGCCAGTTAGGCTGAGCGTCTGCACTGTGCAGGGCCTGTGGATAATTTGTACGAAAGCCAGACCAAGTGGAAACATAAATAACAGCCACAGCATCTGTTTACCCTGATGAGCTTCAGCACTCTGAGACGGGGAGACAGAGAGATAGGAGGCGAGAACAAGAGATAAAGGGAGGGGAGGGGGGGCAGGGAGAAGGGGATGAAAATAGGGCAGCGTGAGAGATCTGACAGGGGTAGAGACGTAGATGGGAGGTTCACACCAAAAAGAAAAAAGAAAAAAAAAAACGTGATGGCGAGGAGGAAAAATATGAAAATGTTGCAGAGCAAGTCATACATAGCGAGGTACGGTAATGAACGCTCAAATTCACACAGGATTCACACCGTATTCTCTCACACACACACGCACACACAAACTCTTGCATAGGCAGCTGCGATGTTGAGTCGCTATGGAAACTGCTTCTCGCTAATAGAACTGCACCAGCCATTCCATTGCACCGACTCACTGAATGCCTGTTGCCGTGGTAACAAATTCTACTCACGTATTTGCACACCCGCCTGCATCACCACCTGAATCTCAGGTTACACATGCACTTGGGTGCGTCACTCACAGTCGAACGTCCACACACACACAAACACACACGTACACACATGCACTCACACACACACACACGTGAACAAAGCAAAACTGCACATATGGCTTCACACATGCAGACATCTTTTATGGATCACACGAATGTCACAAGCAGACTGGCTAAAAATATAAATTTTTAGTCATACACTCCGACGTGCTGCTCTTTTTCTTCTCTTCTCTGGTGCGCTCTGAACCTCGGCTGATTTCCCAGAGGATATGTAAACAAGTTAAATTATCCCGGCATTACCAGGACAGTACAGAGGAGTGACATCAGCAGGCCATCATCAGCCGCACTCACAGCAACACCGCCATAAATTAAATCCTCAGAGACAGAGAACAGTGACATGCAACTGCTATTTTTAAGCTTCAATCTCTATTTTTCTGCATTGTAAAAATATTGTTCTGCCTCCGTATTAACAAAGACAACTGATGTAAATGTACTTGATGCAAACCTATCTGTAAAACATCTAAACTCAACAGAATATTCAAAGAACATTGCACTTATTACAACAATGTCAGACTCAAAATGAGCAGGTAAGAAAACAAGATTTACACTGATGCTTAACAGGCATAGATATTTGTGTGAACAATGAAGCAATATTTAAAAAAAGAAAAGAAAGGGTGTATTTTTTGCAGAGGTTAGATATTTCTCAGGTTGACAGGCACCTTATAATGTCATTTTACCGATCACAGAATCTGTCCCTAACTACACAATGATTTGTTGGTACAGGACTTTAATTTTGTTAAACAGGATGAGGAATCAATAAGGAAACAACGTCATGACACATACTAAAATCATTGGCGAGCAGCAGACTTATTTGTGCAGACTGCTATGATTTTGTTTGAAAACGCTTTTTAAAAAAAAACTAAAATGGTCTTTGTCCACTTGAGCCTTTTTGGCTCTGTATCTGTTTCAATCCCCGTCATACTAACACGCCTGAAAATGCATATCAAGTGACTACTCATGTACACTAGGCAGAGTAAACAGGAAGGCATGCACATCCCGCTGGACACGGGAATTGTCACAGACGGATCGAATAATAGCCACATGTCCGACTTGTATCGTTGTAAAACGCAGAACTGCACAACAACTGTTAACAAAGACCACAGGGGACTTCTACACTGGTAGCCGAGGCTAATGCCTGTTGTTTTCTTATGGACGGGAGTCATGTGATAGAAGCCTGACGAATCAGCGAAGGCGACACAATGACCAAAATGACCCAATCAGCAGGTGTAAGAGTCTAGGTCATTTTTTCCAAATATCTTAGGGCGAGCAGCGTTTCCAAACTTCAAGTGGCTCTAAAACTCGGAGTAGTGTGGCCGGCAGGTGTATCCAGCAGAGTTGATGCATTTTCAAATAAAAACGTGGATGTAGCATATACACATGAAAAGCTGCACCCATCCTCTTTTTAGAATTTGACAAACATTAGTGGTTTAAGTTTTCATTGATCCCATGTAGAAGAAGTGCTCTTAGCTGATTATATTCTGCCTGTAGATTCCTAAGCTTTGTACTTTATTAATTTTATCATTATTTTCTTTCTATGTTTTTCTTCAACCATCCTGTTGGAAAAGCATGGACAAAAAAACTTTAACTGTACTTTTAATGTCTTGTGTTTTTATTGTGAATTATATGTGTTTGTGTTTTGAGGCACAATAAATATTTAAACTGAAGTGAACTGTGATCACCTTTACCCCCCATGCAATCATCCTCCTTGTTAAAACCTGCGTCCTACATTACCCATAATACAGCTTGGCCTCCAACAGTTTGGCTGATGAGTTTAAGAGGTGGTTTACATTTAGATCGCAGATTATGTCTTTAATAGAGGGCCCCCTTTCGAGCTAGCCTCTGCTCCATTAGCCTTGATAAGAAAATGTGTTTTCCCACTGAGGTTCTCTCTCATTGTTTTTATCTAAGAGGCTGGAACTCGAAGTTAAATGGGTGTCTACTGTTGTACTGGACAGTAAAATTTAAGCAGCTTGCATTTTTTATGATAGATCAACAATTATGTTAGCATTTAACGACTGCAGCTCCTTTCTGTTTTTTATGGCACACCAATTACTAAGATTGCATTTAAGTTGTTTTACCTCTGAGGATACACATCTTAGTGTGTGTTACAGTAGATCAAGGTTTAGTTCATCAAGTGCATAACAATGAAAACTTAATTCAACCTCTTATATCTGACTCCAGGACAAAATGAATTCAAAATGTATATTTCATTCTTTGCTTTTTTAAATTGTGATTTTATTAATACATTTTTGTTGTCCCCTCAATAATTCAGAACCAAATAAACACCGGGAAAATAACAGCTATTCAGATTTCATGGAAAGCCCCCCAAAAAACCTGAATGGAAACAAAATTAAATTTTGGGGGGGGAATAAAAGATAAAAAGCTGATGTTTCCGACAATGCATTACTGAAAGCTGGATAGGAAACAGTCCAAGTGGTGTAATAAAGAGGACGTCCCCACACATCACTAAGATGCACAACATTTTGGAATTGTATTTGATCAGTTGAGCTTAACAATATTTTAGTGATATAAAACAAATAAGTGCACACTGTTGTTTTTTGGTTGAGAAAACAGACATTTAAAGGTGACCCTTTGAAGTGAATAATAAACTAAAGATGGAGATTTGTGTAAGATTCACATTGGAGAGACACAGCTGCATAAAAAGAAATAAATTTGATCAAATCGATAAAAAAAAAGATGTAGGCGGAATTGGCAGAATTGAGTGTGTGAAATGTTCTAAAGGAGCTCAGCGGGAACAGAGAGGTGATTTGGGGGTGCGGGGTCGCAGGGTGAAAGTGTTTCACTCAGATCCAAAGCCAACAAGGAGCTCACTGTCTCTCCTGCCTGCCTCCAAAACACTGGCACATTATTCACTCCTCTTCTTTCTACCTAACCTGATACTCTCCTCTTCAATATCCACCTCCCTCCCTCATACCCATCCTCAATGTAACATCTCACCTCCCAGTAGAAACGGCCTTCTTTCTACTTTTTCATTCCTGTGGTCCTCCTCTCATTCTTCCTCTTATCGATTGATTTGGGCGTTTAAGTATTAAGCCTGACTCAGCACTTTGCACCCACACCCAAGCAATGCAGGTTTTTGCAAATAACTTTTTTATAAATGAAGATGCTAATTGGAGAATTTTTCACCACCATTTGAAAAACCTGTGTCCAATCCATACCTGAGCAATTAAGTGAGGGATTCAGGCCAACCTGACTCCCCCCCCCCCCGCAACCAATCCTGTCAAGATCCATCAGGTGTTAGCATAAATGTCAAGCTTCCACCTGTCTCCTCCTCATCCTCTCTTTCTCCACATCTCTCTCACTTTCAAAGCTCAATAAATGTCATTTCATCATGCACTTGTCTTCATGATGACAGTTTTTTCCTCTTTGCTTCCCCCCTCGTTGCCCTCCCCCGTGCTCTCGCAGTGCTCGGCTTTTTCCCCTTTCTTTCATCTCTATTCTATCGTTCCGCTCCTCTCCTCGACAATCCTGTGTGAATCCTTTCTGTTTTGGCTGTTAAGAAACCACACAATTGGATTAGCTACATCTGTCTCTTTTTAAACCACGGCAATTAGAGATGCAAGGGAGAGAGAGGACTCAATAATCAAGTAGCACAAACAGCACCGTGCTCCGGTAGACACACATGCAAAAATGGAAATGTGATGCACTCTACGTGTGCATAATGCTATGCACTATACACTTTGACAGTAAGTCTGGGCACGTACACAGAAACATGCGCACATGCTGTCTGCATTGATTTTGGCTGCATCATTAAAGAGAGTAGTGAGAGCATTTCCCTGCGACTGCAGTGAACTTGAAAAATGCACGGCAATAACAGAGACATGCAGAAATCCTCCAATTTTTCATACTTAAAAAGGAAAAAATGGAGAAGGCTCAATAACATTATGAAGGACATTAACTTGGACTATTTCATAAGGACGTTTTTGCGATTTGTCGGTTAATAAAAGCAGTTAACAATGGACAGTGTAATGTGCACATAGAGTGGTGAGTCTAAGATGATTATTAACACAGACACACACACCCACCATTTCCCCACAGAGTTTAAAAAATGGAGCATGAGGAAAAAAAACCATGCAATTATAAAATACCTTCATCCCTTGGTCTGTTCATTGTAGACTCATCCTGTTTTTTTGTGAGTGGACCTACGGTTCAGAAAAAAAGAGGGGGGAGGAGAGACAAAAGACAAAATTCAAAAAGGTTGCATTTGTAGGAAAAACAAGAAAAGATCACAAGAGGAAAAATAGCAAAACTGTAAGATGTGACGCTCTGGTTGCAATCGTGTGACCGCACAGCTAAAGACAAAATGTTTACAAGGACTACACACTGTTTCCTGGAAAGATAAACCCCAAACTCATCTGTTTTAACTGCTTAGGATCTAGTCACGGACTGCCTCGTAAATAACCCCAGAGGCCACTTCTCCTCAACCCTTCTCCCAATCAGTCCTGACATCCTGCTGCTTTGTAAAGAAAAATCAATGAGCAGAATCAAGCCATCACTCTTTTCAGTCAGAAAAGGCAAAGGAATGCCAAGATACTTTGTATCCTGCTCAGGACAGTGTTGCAGCCCCGAGGCAAGAGCTCCTGCACGATCCAGAGAGGGCAGCCTGTTCAAACCTCACACACGATACACAGGTACATGTGACCACACACACACACACACACACACACACACACACACAGACATATGTTTGATATTTACACTGACTTTGAAGGCTTGCGACAGAATTCCCCCTCACCAAGGTCAAAGAGGAGCCCCACATTAAGCTTTTAATGGTAACACCAGTTAAATGCTCCATGGGGCAGAGACAATAACAAGCATTTATCACAGTGACCAACCAATGCCCCGGCACACCAACCACTGTAGGTCTGAAGTGATAAGAATCCCAGTAATTTGTTTTTTCTGGGTTTCTGTCAGCAGAGCGTTCCATCAGACCACAATTAACGCTGCATTTTCCCGTTGTTCTCTTTTCGAGAAAAGTCATTAAACACTCTCACGTACGCACACCCGTGCAGCCCCACACAAGCTGAACAGCCACATGCCACGCAAGACATGTTAACAGTGTTCTGTTCATCTGATGCTATCCTCCTTGTACCAAGCCCATCTCCCCAGTGGGAAGGCGTTGCAGTCTCATTTTAAAGAATACTCTACGGTGGGTTGCCGAGGGGTTTATCACTCTGCCAGCGTGCTGCTGACATGTCTGCTTCTATCAATCTGCAGGACACCTCACAGAGAAGTGATGGCACATACCCTTTAACTTCCCACAGCGCCTCCCGTCTACTGACGAAAGACAACATCACCGCACTCCCCAATAATAATAATGCTGCATTTTCACCCATCACTCTTTATGAATATGAATTTCCTGATATAAAATGTTTATCTGCTGTCTTAATGGAGGAGGATCAATGCTGAATGGATTTGCTGCATCCTCTGAGTACCACTATGAAGGCGCCAGATCCAGAGAGCACTTCCTGCCATAGAGGGAGATGGTACGGTCGCTAGTCGTTGGTTGCACAGCAGACAGGTAGACAGGCCGGTAATGGATAGAAAGGCACATTATCCCTCCGTCTTGTCAGCACTTCCCCGCTACTTAGCACCACTCTGAAACCACATCTCAGCGCTTAATGGAGACTTCCCTGATTTCATTCATTTTCTAATGCCCAATAAAGAAGTAACCTATATGTGAGGCTAAGCTCTAAACAGACGGTTGAACTTTGTAATGGACCATCCGCTCCACCCATCACATGGGCACCTCACCTAAAGAGTTAGATCTTGTCACTTTATAGTAGTTTTGTGTGTAGGATTATTTTCATTATTGATATATCTAATATTTAAATCAATGGTTCCGTTAATTGATTGTTTTAAAATGTCAGAAAATAGTGGACATGATAGTGAAACAACTATTCAGGCCACTGAATCTTGCCACTATGTTCATATGGAGGTAAGGTTAGCCAGATAACAAAAAGAAAAAAGGACAAATAGGAAAGGAAAGGTTGATCGTAAATATATTCTGTTGACAGTTTAAGCAATTGCATGTAACTACAGGGGAAAGCGGAGGCTATTTGTGTGATATGAAGTCACCTCAGAAACTAAGTAGAGGTTATAATTATCTTATGTCAATACATTAATAAAATATAAGGTGAAGAGCAGTAGTTTTCAAGTTCTATCTCTCCCTCTATCTCTTTCTCTGAAGAAGTATTTACAAAATCATGTCACTCCTTACTGGTTACACCTTCCCGACCGCTCATCCACGATGTATTATTATTATTGTTGATGACCAAGGCAAACTTAAAGTAGAGAGACAGGACTGACAGTAGATACGCAGTAGTCATCATACACAAGAGAGGTCAGAGTCACAGTTGATGCAAGAAGTAAACACAGCAGGAATAACCTTGATAAATGAATTAACAATAATAACAAATATATGAATGAAAAAGTCCAATGTCATTCGGATTCATCTTCAAGGTACCATGAATATGTTGGACCAATGGGGAAATATGAGTTATTTCACAAGTGAAAACGTGGAATTTCTATTGACTGACTATTGAATTGATGACAAAGATTTCCTTAGAAATACATGAACATGGCAGTATCTATCTATTTATAAAATACATTATATGAAGAAATAATACAATGGGTCGGACAAGCCAAAGGGAAACTAACACAGCACGGAAGAGTAGAAGAGAAGCCTTCCAGTAGGCTCTGTCACAAGACGCCACTGGTAAGAGAAATGTGTTGGCCTACACAGGAGCATTTAGCTTGGGATGTCCCAGTACTGTTTGACCTAACGCAGCTCCATCTCTCAGTCAACAGCGTTTCTTTCCGGTTCAGTGAGCCAGTGGCCAGAGCGCAAGCTGTCTCCCGTCCCTTTCCATTTCCTCAGTGCAGTAAACGGGATGAAGCTGCAGTATGTCATGTCTGTGGTGGCCTGTCTGCTTGACAAGGTGTCAGACACAGCTTTGGTACCCCCACCCCTCCACCACCCTCTCCCCTGCATCCAGGCAGCGGCTTCCAGCACATGCAGTCCTATCCCTCGGCTCTTCATCCCCTCCACTGTGCCTGCAGCCTCCAGCTCCATCCTTTGCCTCCACCCTCCTGCCTCCTGAAATATGGTTTTTAATAAAGGCGCGGTAAATGGCTGCTCTAGCAGCAATAAAAATGAAGGATCTCAGGCTCTTGGCTGAGGAGTGTCTTGGGAAAAAAGGAATGCAGTGAGACAGTGCTCCTGCCTAGCAGCCTGGCCACACGGGAGAGTTAGGGTGAACACTGGAGGAGGAGGAAGGAAGCAAGAGAGAGATAAATGGGGAGTATAAAACTCACTCTTCAGTCCACTAGAACATTTGTGTTATTTACATTATTCTAGGAAGTTATTTGTGTTTCATCTGAGCTGAGGAAGTAGCAGGCAGTAGAGGTAGCCCAGAGAGGGGGGTGTGGAAAGCATTCATTTGCATTCAGAACAGTGACCCCTTTTGCTGCCATCTGCATAAAGATGGAGGAGCGAGGAGAGGAGAAGATGCAGGGATGGTTTCAGAGAGGAGAGAGCAGGAGGAGTGAACAGATGCAGAAAGAAAAGAGAGCTGTGAATTTGCTTTTGTCCAAAGAATAATGTTTAGTAAGAGTATTTCTAGGTCTGAGACAGATATAGCAGGAGTGAAGGTGGGGGGTGCTTAAGGTAGAAGAGAGAGATTATATGTGATGTTGCACTCCGGAGATTTATGCATCAAAATCAAGTCGTGCAGGCCAGATCTGGCAGCAAAACATTCAGATGCAGGCTGTGTATGAATCTGTGCTGCCAATTCATTCTGGCCCATCTACATCCTCTGTGGGTGGGAATGTTACTCCTCACTGCCAAAGCATCGACGTCCAGCCTTTATACTCGATGTGGCATGAAGTTAGATGCTAGCTATAGCTTAGTTTAGCTAAAACACAGGATGTACATGGTCTTGGGCAGCTGCAGACTTGGACTCTGGCAGCAGATACGCTTCTATGTTTGCTAGAGTTCACGATGTGCATATCAACATTTTTGGGAAATCAATCCAATTGTTGTGGAGGAATCGTTCTAAAAACCACAAATGCCTTACTGTGACACTCGAGATAAAGGATTAGGCCCCGTCATCTGGGCACCATGAATGTCTTTACCAAAGTACAGGTGAATCTACCTGATAGTGGCAGAGACATTATCCAAAAAGAAAAAAAAAACAACAATGTCAATCTGCTGGAGGCGCTAGGGAAAAGGTCAAGGGAACACCAAATTTTGTGAGACTAATCCTCTGGGGAGCATGAATGTCAAATGCTGAGGCTGACAGGTGCCACATTCTTGAATTTAAGAAAATGACCAGTGAGATCACCAATGAGAGCTGTGTTCTGGTTTTAAAGCAGCTCTTAATTTATCATATTTGTACAATCAATTTAAAAATAGAGAAGAACCACAAACTAAGAAACTGCCACTCACATTTGATCAAACCCATTCTGATGAAGAATATTAGTTGACTCGCTTTTAATGAACCTAAAATTCAAGTTCATTTAGACCTGAACATTTAATGTCATATAAGAAACCCTCCCCATTTGAAACCAGGGTTTGAAACCTGCTGATATCTGATGCAACTGCAAGTTTAACACCGTGTAAACAATCTGAGGCACTGTGACAACAGTCAGACACGTGAAAAATGTAGTGTTTGATTTCAGGGGCACTTTCACTCTCCCTCAGTCTCTATTTTTCTCCCTCACACACGAGGCACAACATATCCTCGGAGACTGCATCAGCCTTGTGTAAGCACTGACCCCTGACAATAAGTGACAGATTCTGACAAGCACACAGGGCTACATGTAAAATCTGTCTCACTCATTTGCACATCTTTTCTCCAGGGAATAACACAGGAGACTCTACATCATCCTCTCAGAGTATGTGGCATATGCAGTGTGCAGCATGCATACTGTATAACTGTAATGTATGTGCACTTTCCAACACGTTCACGGTCATTTCAATCACATGACAATATTTTTTGCCGTCCTCTAGTCTCACTTTACACTTGATGTTTTGCACTAGCAATTGATTTGTTTCCATCTGTGTGTTGGGCTGTGGAGCATGAATGAAATAATTTAACTGCAATACTGACACTGTCGTTGAGTAGGGTATAGTTTTAGCTGTTATGTTAAATTACAACAATGCAGCCACACCACTCTGGACCGAAGCTAAACGTCGTTTGAGCAGGGGAAGCAATGATGAGCAGCCACAGCAATGCATAAATGTGTTTTCTAGGGAGCTGAGGTCTCCGGTGAGCCCATTAACAATAGACTTTTTAAGATTTAAGATTTGACCATGATATCCAAAGATACACATTTATCCAGTGTTTTTATATCTGCTTTCTCCAACACTCTCCACCGGATCATTAATGCAAAATTACACCCAGATCACCCACGGACAGGTGGAGGTTTTCCCTTTAAGTGATCTTCAGTTTTTTTGGGACTAATTTCACCCCAGGAGGACTTAACAAGGTCGTCTTGGGTACCAAAATCCCCCACACAGCCAGTGCCTACCTGCAAGAATCACAATGCAGATATCCGTGCCTGAGCTATGTAATGCAATAGTTGTTCTGCTAACAGGCAACATAAACATCCCCAGCACGTGCTTAATTAACATAACTCAGGTGAGCATGTGACATTTGTCTATAGTTAGCTTACAGCTACTTCAAACTCTAATAAAGCTGAATGGTCGACGGTGTGGCTGTATTTTACGTGAAAAGATTCCGCTACTAGGACGTGCAGAAAATGTTTGAAAACAATTCAGAGTAAATGAGTGAGGTGGGTTATATTTCATTTATTATGTGATTTTGCTGCATACATCTCTTCAGAGTTTTGCACTTATTTATATTAGTACTACCAACTGTTAATATGTTAAATTATAACTTCCAATTTAGCTTAGCAATATAAAGCTTCTTATTGTCGAACACTGTTTTGTGCCTTTTTTAAGAAAAAAGTGTGTGCAGCAAGTATTTTTTTAACACTGGTATCGTAAAAACCATAACCATAATTATGTGCCACACTTTTACCTCTGCTTTTTCTAATGCTCTCCACAGGATCATTAATGCTATCGCATGAATGACATTTTTACCATTTCCTCTGATGATTTCCTCTGATGATGTTAATTTATGGGTTTTTTGGCAGTGAACTGTTTCTATTACACTTCTTCTAACCTATAGCTGCTATAACAGCATTTGTTTTCAAAGGCTTTAAGCACAGACACCACTGTGCAGCATCCACGCAACACGAGCGTGAAGAGTAAGTCAAAGCATGAAACTGACACGTGCGTCCCAACACAGCGGTCACGGAGGTTTAAAGCCACATGCCACCAATACTAAAAGCACAGTTAATTACAGCTCTTTGTGTGCAGTTCAATACAAACTGCCACACTGGAAAATACAACCTTGATAAATTAGTTTGCCAGCTAAAAACCTGTATGTGAGCTTTTGAATATCAGGCTGCATCACTTCTATTTAACAGTAATGCAATATATGGCACTGTGAATGTTAGACCTTCAGCTGAATGATAAATGAAAATAAGCAGATAAGTACAGATAAACGAATAGTTAACTATTAAAGATAAACAATGCTTTTTTTCCCCTATGGGAGGCTCTTGAATGGACCTGCAAGGTGCAGGTCCCAGAGGGGAAGGGGAAGCCGAGCTGTGACACACCGCATGTGGGTCTGATGATGTTAATTTATGAGTTTTTTTCGTTGCAGGAAATTAATTTATTCATCATAATTACTTCTCCTTAAATGTGGTTTTCAATATCTGATGAAGAAGCTGTGTTTGTGAATATTCATGAAGGGTATAAAGCCGGATTTTGAAGGGTGCTTGTGTTGCTATGAAGGTTTCTTTGGTTTCTTCACCCACAAGTCGTGATTGGATTTTAATTACAGTGCAATGTGAAAGAAGAAAGAACCGTGGCAGATCAATCAATAAGGTAAAACATTTTCAAGGACAGTTATGATACACACATCTTCTCTGATTTTCTCATCTTCCTACGGTAGAAGTAGACAAGCTACTGAGGACCTAAACAAAAAAACAATAATAATAATAATTGAGATAACAGAATTATCAGAAGAAACATTTGAATAAAAGAAAATACACTCTTTGTTTCACAGTTTTTAGGAATTTCTATATACAAGGGCTTTTAGTTCCAGTATCATTTCCCTTTTGTACAGGCTGAATGTACAAAATGTTAATGATGTCAGGGAGTCACTGTTTGATTTACTACATCATTGGTTCCCTTTGTTCAGTCACTCTAAACACGTGTGACTTACTCTGCGGTGCTCGTGCAAAAGGTTAACGTTAGCAAGCTAATACAATTACAATGATGAAGATATAATGTTCATGGATGATTTAAACAAATTAGTGTTAAGTCAAGTCAAAAAATGCTGCATGTCACGATGTGGCTAATTGGTACAAAACGGCACTGGAACATGCTCGGTAGTGTTCTAAATATTTGATTTAATGTTAAAGTTAATTAAATATGAGCAATAAAAGTAAAGTGAATCTAATTGCCTCAGAGACTGAGAGGGAAGACTGTTTGTGACTGCATCTCAAACAGTATTATACTAACTAACTAACCAATAATAACTGAGACTGGCATTAATTCAAACACAGAGGTTTATCAGTATACTGTTTCCAGTTGGCTCATGTGTAAAGTTTTCATTCTACAGATTATAATCACAGCTAATTTATCAAAATGACACTATTCCAGTGCTTTTCACACTTTCTCTCTCAATTGGATGTACACTTTTTTCTCACCAGTGCCAAATCAGGAGCAATTTAAGGGCTCATTTATGCTCAGTGTAAGATATGTATACAAATATTTTAGATACCTATACGAAAGGCGACAGAGATCTATCCATACCCTGTGTTAATGCATCCGTATTGGTAAATGTCTTCTGAAAACATGGCTATAAACAAAACATGAATAAAGTTAATCTACTCCTGTATCTAGTATAAGAGTTTGGTTGCACTCACCATCTTCAGTGGGCACGTATATGTTGAGGTAAAGGCAGTCCTCACTCTGGTTCTGAACATAATTCGCTGCAGCATCCAGGTTGTCCGTGAACCACACGGGTAGCATGATCTCTGGTAAAACCCCGTGCACGTTCTGGGGACACACAGGCGCAAATTGGGTGGCATTGCGGATCTCTTGCCAGGAGCCTGGAGCTTCAGGAGGCTGGAAGCGACGCTCGCCAATGGGTGCGGTGGCATACGGCACTCCTAAGTACTGTTCCACTGGGCCCAGGATCTCATTGCTCAGGTCCTTCCTGATACCACGGACCTTTCCATAGCCTGTGGACACTATGGGGTGTTTCAGATCAACCCGCTGACACGAGGAGAGGGTCAGGTGCAGCGCTAGTCCTGAGAGCCACACCAGGCAGAGATTAGCAATCTGCTGAGAAGTATAATGATGCTTCCCACCATAGCCTTGGTGGCTGGCAGCATTGAAAGGAAAAAACAACATGTCCAAAATAAAGGCTCTTTTAGTCGTATCACTAGGATGTAGACAGGGATCACAAACTCAGTGGGTTATGGGGGATAACAAAGGCAAAAAGAGGGTGTGTGAAAAGGGACAGCTTAACGGTTCTCCTAGGGTGACATGGTGAGGCGGAGGGTCAGGTAGCATTCTCAGGTAGACTCTGTGGTCTCATCCGTCTTTCTCCTCGACGCTCCTGATGGGTCCAGAGCTGCAGTCAGTGAGCCAATTACACCTGGAAGACACAGACAGGTTGCAGGTTTGAGTCGGCGTGTGTGTGAGGGTGAATAGTGTGATCGTTAAAGCCTGTCAGTGTGTTTAAAAAGGCACAGGAGGACAAAATGGGTGAGACAATTTTAACCAAGATGAATTGTCTGTTAGCTCGTAAAAGAAAGGATAACGACACTTTATTGCGGACGACTCCTTTATGGTACATTTATAATACCCTGTGGTTAAACTCCCCTCCAACAGACACAGAGACATCTGTTGTGTCATGTGATTTTGTCGTCTTGAAGATGATCGATTCAACCTCAAAGTATTGATGTCAGTGAGAATTCAAGCACCTGTGTTGAATAAGCTGAAGTTTAATTCTGTTGTGGCCCAGCTTTGCTAATTTCTAGAAGAGCAAACAATGCAGATATAATGAACCAAGAGTTGAAATGAAGCAGTAATGTCGTTTTCTAATGTGAATCACCAATGCTTAAGTCAGATTTATTCAAAACTTAACATACTGAATGCATCAATATTTCAGTTACCTTAGATAATCAATTGCTTGTTGGACAATAATCTCTATACATAGATTCTGCATATAAATAAACATAATCTGCAGACGAGGGACAACATTATGGGACAGGAAGTCTTCTGGTTTCTGATCCTAGTTTGATCAATCATGTTTGAGCAGGCTTTGGTTGACCAAAATAGTCAGTGTGATGAACACATTGATCGAAATGCATCGACTATTAACTTTTCAATTAATCTGCACTCACGTACAGATGACTGTTGATCAAAATTAGCCAAAATGTAATCTGGAGCTACAACACAGATAAAAAGGTTTTTGAGGAGGAAATGTTCGACTCATTTGATAAAAGAAAACAGTGTACGGTGAACAGAGTCTTGGCCTGGATATCTGCTGTCTTCACCGGAGGCCCTTAAATATTGGCCGTTGCCACAAGAACCTGATTCATTGTCAAACGATACAGATTGGCTCTGAGATTGATTGGACGGAATGATTTAGGCCTGTTTCATATTCATTTTTTAACCCAATGTATTTATTGTACAACAAAATCAAAGGAACTGACAATATACCCTCCCAACCAATTTGGAGGGGACTTTAACTCACATGTCCAAAAGCAGCTCGTGTGACACTTCCCTGCTGGGGTGTAAAATTTTGGGTGCAAACGCTTGGCTGCATTTAGAGTTGTAAAGTTGCGATCAAATCACCACCACCCCCCTGCCACAATGGGGGTGCAAACTGTGGAGAGAGCCAAACACTGACTATAAGTGTTATTATGGTTCATAACTATGATTAATGCTCTGGACAAATATTATTCTGCCTTCTCGTGCAATGATGAATATTGGAAACACCGGTTCCCAATTTAGAAACTGAACTTGGATACTCATGGGTTTTGTAAATTATTACCTCAGAAGACAAGCTTACAATGAGCAGGTTTAATAGTCGAAGAGTATTTGGTCTGGTTGCAAAAACTTAATTTGCAGTCCAAAGGGAAACTTTTTCAATTACCGTGGTGTAATGTGGCCGCTGCCTCATATTTCCGTCTTCCAGATAATTACAGTAGTTTGAAGTGTAAAGCAACACTTGTCTTGAAATTAACTTCAACCCACAGAGAACACAAAATAAATAAAAGCATGTTCACACATCATTCAGAGGGGTAAACAAGCTGAAACCCTGCTGGCCCTGCATCCTTTTCAGCCATCCACACTGTGTCGGAGTTAGCCTCTCCTTCTCAACTCAGTTCAGTCGGGTTCTTGCTTCCACATCATTACAGATGAATGGGCAGTGCTTATCTCACTCTGGCTTTGGGAGACAGAGCCGTTTAGGTGTGATAAAGGCTTTATGTGGTGCTAACTGTTGGTTGGATGCCACCTCATCCCTCCACCCTCAACCCTGCAATATCCACACTCCACTGGCAGGCAGCAGACACAGGGGACAACAGTAAAATACAGCACAAAGATTCTGTGCAGCATAACAGGATGTTCAAAGTTAGTGATGTGAGCGCAACTCTGCTTCATTGTAGAGCAAAACAGTTACAGGCTGACTGGAAAAATGCTCAGTTCATAAAGCCATCTGAGTGACTGCATCTTATGACAACTCTGCACATTCTGAGGAGGAGGTAAGATGTGTCAGGACACCCTGAATCCCTATTAAAAAGAGTTACTGTGCATGCATAGTCGAGCTGAAAATCCAACTTAGAAAAAGATTAATGTGAATTATACACAGTACATGGCTTTATACACTGTGTTGTCAAAGAGTCAGTGTGAGAGGGGGGTTAGATCGCGTGATCCAGACAACTCACTTGACTTATTTGGAATAAGAGGCGAGGCGGTGAGGGAGACGTGTTCATCTCCCACAAATTGTTCGTCTGATTTTTTTTCATTATTATATATCCAGCCAAGGTAGGCTCTGAGGATCGATGCCATTGTCAAGTCTCTCCGCTTTGCTCAGCATTCAGAATGTAAACTAGGGGAACCTCTAAATATCACTAATTAACATGTTCTTTCTAGAAATAGTCCTGCGTATAATCCTCATGACACCACAACCTGTCATTTTTCTCTTTAGTGTGACGTACAATTTGTTAAAAGAGCTCTTGTTAGCGCTGCACTGCTCTAACACTGTTGAGCTCGCAATGGACAAGGATTATAACTGATGCAGCAGAACCAGAGACACTAGACTTATAAACAGACTTTGATGTGCAAAATCAGCAGAGCTCCCCTTTAATTTGTGAGATTTTAAGCTACATGGATTTTGTTACTTTCACACAGAGGGTAGCTGTTAGCCCTTTATTTTAAACTAAGTAAACCGGCTGTACAACGGTGAGATATGAGAGTGGTAGTGTGTCAAGCTTCTTATCTAACTTTTGATAAAAATATGGAGAGAAAATAGACTCAAAAGGGTCACACATGTATTACATGATCTGTAAGTGAAAAATAAGATTTACAAATGCTGTGTGTAACTCACAAAGCAATTTGTGGAGTAAAACAGTTTCAACAAATCGATAAATTAATAAATAGTAACATTTTCCGAACATAGTTTCAACTTTAACTCTACAGAGCACACGTTGGCTTTCAAACAGCGTCCTGTTTGTACTAATGTCATTTGTGACATTCTTTGTATTCATTTGCACATTTTCAAATGTGTCTGCACAGATCACCTGACATGCACGGATCAGTTTACACATGTGAGTGAGACTCTTTTTCAGCTGAGATTCACAAATGCATGCTGCTTTTAAGGACTGGTGGAAAACTGGGGTGTCTGGGCTTTGGTGAATTAGTGTGTAATTTTAAACTTGGAAAGCAATCGTGAGTCTATTTGCTCTCCATAACAAGTTTTTCTTGACAAGTCAAACAAGTGGTATAAAAGTCCAGGGTGTTGGATTTAGGGGAAGGCATTGGTAGAAATTGAATACAATATTCATGATGATGTTTTCAATTGTATAACCTGAAACTATGACTCATTGTGTTTTTATTACCTTTAAATGAGCCATATAATCTACATAGAGAGTGGATCCTCTTCCAAGGAGCTTGCCATGCTGCACAGCCATGTTTCTCACTGGCATAACATAGGTATGGTCAAGTGTCTACAGCCTGTCACATTGTTTCCTGTACGAACCCCCGTCCTGAATGCATGAGCAGCATTTACACACACGTGCACACATATGTAAAATCTAATGAGGCATCAGATGTAGCATACGAGCAGAGACTCGACCGTGAGCACAAATTGGTCTGTTCTCAACCTCTCACATGTGACTGGCAAACGGTGCTAGCTTAACAGTCCCAACATCTGTTCACGTTAACCATCCGTGAGCTGAACTGGCATTGATCGTGCATCTCCAACACATAAAGTGGGACAAATTGAAAAAAAAAACATCGCCAGGTTGATGTGAGTCTGTTTTCTGTTTTGTTTTATATAATAGGTAGTCCTGTCAGTTGGAGCTGTTGGCGGAGGTAATGACTCTCTGCCAGTGGGACACTTTTGTGAGCAGGTTTAAATGGGATGGTCGGAGTGGTTTGAGGAAAATGCTTGTCCTGGGATTTTATATTGCTTTGTTTCCACTGTGAGTGTTAAAACTACATGCACTACTTCAGCTGTCAAGCCGCTCTCCTCCGCTAGTCAACATCTGTGGATGACAAGCAGCTTAGCAAGCCAGAAACAGAGTGCTGAGTTTTTGACTAAACTTGCCTGTCTGTGATCTACTGTCAGAGTACGGATAAAAAAAAAGGGATCTCTCAGTACTGAAATAAAACTAAGCTCTGGTGGCTGATGTTGTATTCCCTTGAACCATGTATAGACACAATAATCCATTCTTATCCACTGATATCTAAGGGGAAAGACAACACCCTTTTTGTAAGAGACATCACAAATTACATTTAGGGTTATTTTGCAAGAACATCCACATTATTGTTAATGTCCCATATTTTGTGGGTATTATTATTTTCTCTAAACCGGCATATGCTACAGGTGTCTTTCCTTTGTTTTAGCTGTTTGTGGAAATAAATGATGTGGCAGCACAGCGTGTCACCCCTTAATTGGAATAATCTGGTCATACCTTCTACGACCAGAGTCCGGGGGACAACCTGACAAAGTGGCCGACTTTATTGATTCCTTTGCTACTGATGGTGAAGCAATTAACAATCTGAAAAGCTCAGAGGCACTGAGTACTTCCTTAGTAATAAAGTCCCCACTTTTTATTAAAGGAGCTGGAAAAGAAACCCTTTCTCTAGTTCCACATCAGCACATCACTTATGCTAAGCTAACTCAGTTTGTCAGTGCCACCCAAGGGTTCTGGCTCAGGTCACACTTCCATTCCTTAGCAGCAGGAGGATTATTCTGTTTCGATAAAATGTTTAACATGCTGGGAAACAAAGCTGAGATTTACATGATGATAACACAACTCTAATGTGTGTATGGTAAATATTCTGCCAGCAAACTTAGCGTAGTAAAGAGACTGGAACAGCTAACCTGGCTTGGTCTATCAGGGTTACATATACCGAACAAAT